CGGGGGGAGGGGAGGGGTGGGGAACGGCGACCAAGCTGCGGCTGGGGTCGGGAATGGGGTTGAAGGATGGGATGGGATGGGATGGGCACGGGGCCGCCTGCTCTGCTGCTCGGGTTTTTGTTTCCTGCCCTGTGCTCCCCGCCTGCTTTGCTGCTCTCCTTTTTTCACCCCACCCTGCACTCCATGTTTTAGGGGTGTAGTTCGTAGCCGTGTTGGTGTAAGGACATGGGCAGACCAGGTTCTTGGGGTAAATCCACCCTCTTTTTATTAAACCAACTCCACTAGTTGGAAGAATTCTTAGGAAACTTTTGGGCACAAACACCCTTTGTCAGGCTGAGGAAGTGCCCTGCTTTCTCCTCCCGGCCTGCTCTTTGTTCCCCGCCCCGTGCTCCCAGCCTGCGCTGCTTTCTGCTTTCTCTTGTCTTTGCCACTGGTGCTGCCTGTCCCCTCCCCAGTCTGCAGTGCGCTGGTCAGGGAGCCTGCCCATGTCACAAGTGGCATGTGTGCCACAGGCCAGCCCTCCCTGGATGATGTGAATGTTGAAAGTGCTTTATCATTGCCATCACCGTCTTGTTACACATACTGATAGCAAAGCAGACTGTTAACTTTTGCTTAACCTTTTTAAATCAGAGTTCACCTTCCTAATCTTCTGCTTTTCCAGCCCAGTTACAGCTATACATCCAGCTGGCTTTGTTGAGATTAACATATTAGTAATTTAGTAAATATAACTGGGTACCTCTGTTCTTGTTGTTTGGCATTTTGAAAAGGGTCTGGTGTAATTTTTATTTCTTTTGTTTAAAGAAAAATTAATCTTGCTGGTTTTTTTTTTTTTGTGGGTTCAATAGAGGGTAGTTCTGGTTGAAGCAACTTAGTCTACATGTGCTTCAGTATCCACTGGAAGAATGACAGATGACAAAGATGTACTTCGAGATGTGTGGTTTGGACGAATACCGACCTGTTTCACTTTGTATCAAGATGAAATAACTGAAAGGGAAGCTGATCCCTATTATGTAAGTACAATGAAGGTAGATAGGCATTACATCTGTGTGTGCATGCTTGAAATTTCGCTTTGGCATTTTGATACCTCTTGTGGAAATACTGTTTTTAATTCAAGCAAAAGTAGCAACTTTAGTTTAAATGGAAGCCAAATGAAGCTAGGCTCCTTTTTTAATAGCACATGCTCTAGGCTTGACCTGGAAAGGTTTGGATGACATAGGTGTTTGAAATACGTAGTTTCATAGTTGTTAGGGGCTGGGAAGGACCTTGCAGATCATTGTGTCCAGCCCTCCCCTGCAGTTGGGCAGGAAATTCTGCTGGGGTCAGATGACCCCAGCAGGGTGGGTATTGGGACACTTTTTGAAGATCACCAGGGTGGATGACTGTACCACCTCTGTGGGGGAGCCTGTTCCAAACCCTTGGCACTCAACTTATAAAGAAGTTTTTCCGTATGTCCAGTCTGAAGCAATCCTCAATCAGTTTGTGCCCATTGTTTCTTGTCATCCCCTGGGGGGCCTTGGTGAATAGAGACTCCTCCAGGCCCTGGTGCATACCCCTAATATACTTATAGGCTGCCACCAAGTCCCCTCTGAGTCTCCTGTTCTTCAGGCTGAGCAGTTCCAGGTCTTTCAGTCTCTCCTATGTCCTGCTCTCTAGGCTTCTAGAGAATGTGCATGGTTGTCCTTTGGACTCTCTTGAGCTACAAACAAATCACCTCCCAAAATCCTTTCTGACCTTGCTAATGCTCCACCATTATGCCTATTTGTGAAGCTCTTTTAGTGAGACTTCCATTTTCATTTGAGATTCTGTAATTGTCATGTGTCTGTTTGTCCATTGTGTACAATTAATGTGCATAACGTGCATTAGTAAGCCTGCTGGTTTAAATGGGTAAGAACAGTCATATCCAGAAAGTGGTATGTTAGGAGAGAGATTTTCAAGAACAAGGAAATAAGTAATAGTTCTATTCTAATTTTACTCAATTTTGTAAAATGTCTAGGTGAGTGTTTGGGGTATTGGGATGAGGAAAAAAAAAGAGGGAAAGGTAGGAGATTATTTCATTTATAGCCTGAGAGTGCTGCTTGTGGCAATCAGAGTTAATATAGTATGTATCACTTAGAATGCTTTATAGATGATCATTTATAGAGGCTATTTGTTGATTCAGCGAGTTAAGTGTAGGATTTACTTAAACATTTGAAATACAGCAAGTATGTGCAGAAGACAATTTTATAATATGTTTTCATAGTTTCATAATTATTAGGGTCAGAAGGGACCTATTAGATCATCGAGTCCGACGCCCTACCCTGGGCAGGAAAGAGTGCTGGGGTCAGATTACCCCAAGTCAGGTGTCTGTCCAATCTCCTTTTGAATATTACCAAGGAAGGGGATAACAACATCTCCCTTGGAAGCCTATTCCATATTTTGACGACCCTCACTGTAAAGAACTTTTTCCTGATGTCAGCCTGAATTTGCTCTCTGTTGTCCATTGTTTGTAGTTACTCCGACTGTCGCCCTGGTAAACTTTGTATCCCCCGCTTC